GGTTCCTTAAAAAACTATAAATAGAACTACCATATGACCCAGCAATCCCACTACTGGGCATATACCCTGAGAAAACCAAAATTCAAAAAGAGTCATGTACCAAAATGTTCATTGCAGCTCTATTTACAATAGCCCGGAGATAGAAACAACCTAAGTGCCCATCATCGGATGAATGGATAAAGAAGATGTGGCACATATATACAATGGAATATTACTCAGCCATAAAAAGAAACGAAATTGAGCTATTTGTAATGAGGTGGATAGACCTAGAGTCTGTCATGCAGAGTGAAGTAAGTCAGAAAGAAAAAGACAAATACCATATGCTAACACATATATATGGAATTTAAGGAAAAAAAAATGTCATGAAGAACCTAGGGGTAAGGCAGGAATAAAGACGCAGACCTCCTAGAGAACGGACTTGAGGTTATGGGGAGGGGGAAGGGTGAGCTGTGACAGGGCGAGAGAGAGTCATGGACATATACACACCAACAAACGTAAGGTAGATAGCTAGTGGGAAGCAGCCGCATGGCACAGGGATATCGGCTCGGTGCTTTGTGACCGCCTGGAGGGGTGGGATAGGGAGGGTGGGAGGGAGGGAGACGCAAGATGGAAGAGGTATGGGAACATATGTATATGTATAACTGATTCACTTTGTTATAAAGCAGAAACTAACACACCATTGTAAACAAATTATACCCCAATAAAGATGTTAAAAAACATTAAATTACTTTTAAAATTCTTAATTGGCTTTTGGGGCTGTAGATGAAATACACACACACACACACACACACACACACACACACACACACATCTATGTATAAAGACTTTTTAAAGGTAATGTTCAACAATGAACTGCTTTAGATAAAAGATTTAAAATGACACTAGGAAATATATATTTGTACATAAAAAACCACCTATAGTTAAGGGGACATTTAGACCAAATCTAATATAAAATTCTGTGTCAATATTAGGTCGTCTGTCTGATACATCCATGAGAAGTAGGATTTATACTTTAAGATAATATTCACAGAAGAGTGGAGTAGACTGTAACATTAATGACCCCAAAGATTCAGGCTCCCCACCCATATCCATGCCCTTGTGAAGACCTGCCCTACACTGACTTTGGGCTTGGTCTTGGGATTTGCTTTGGTCAAAGGGAGTGTAATGCAGTAATACAGGCAGAGGCTTGTTAACAGGCTTGCACACTGGGTCCTGCCCTCTTGGAACGCCGCTGTAGATGCCTAACGGGGAAGCCCCATGCAGCCTCTTTGAGGAGAAGCGACCACAGGGAGTGGGCGGCCCACGGGGCCCGCTGGGCCCAGCCCCCAGTCGACTGATCAGCTGAGTGCAGCCACCAAGAGAACCCAGCAGGAGAGCCAGTGTCCAAGCCATAAAATGGTGAGAAATAAGTTGTTATTTTAGGCCACCAAGTTTTGGGGTGGTGCCATACCAAGGGCTGTTTAAAATCTAATTCCAAATTAGCTGGTTTGAAAGAAGGGGAAACTACATCACAGTTATCATACATTCTCCACGTTAGAACTACCTGTATTCTTGTCTGATTGAAAAATACATGGACTCTTTTCAAAGCCGGAAATGAAATGGTAAAATAATGTATGGTGAATGGTTTAGGACATAATAATATTTTTTTAAAAAATCAAAGCTTATAAACCTTTAATAATATTGTGGTAAAACAATGTATTATACGGTATATTCAAGTTAGTTAGAAAATATTTTTAAAGAGGGACCTGGAATTTTCCAGGAGGTAAGGATGATTTTGGAAATGTTGAGAGGACCTGGAAGTCAGTTTAAAAAGAGTCCACATAGGTTAAAAATGTGACAGGTTTGCTTCAAAAAGGAAATAAAAATTATGCTTAATTTAATAAAAGACTGTAAAAAGCCATGTGTCCATAATTATACTCAAAAGAAAAAAATTAGAACTTATTTTCCCTTCAAATACTTAGTACTTTATTCAAGTAAATTTTATTCAGAGAAGGAAAAATGTTGTTGTTGAAGTTTACATGTAGGGCTTTTTACAGGATGGGTTAAACATACAAAAGATAAGAGAATCTTAGTGGCATGAGAAAGACAAGACTCTCTTCCCGTGAAATATAAATAGGCTCATGAATCTTCCTGCCACCTCCTCAGCACCCACCCACTTACCGGACATTCATCTACTAAATTACTACCAAACATTAAGGAAGTGGGGCAAGGCATTCCTTTCATAGGTATGGGAGGACCTCCCACCTGACCCTGGGGCTTTAGGTTGTGGAAGAGGATTTAAAATTCTGAAGCCAAGTGGATTTTACCTTTTAAATAGACTTTAACTTGAGGGAGTATTTTAAATTTAAATTTAACTACTGGATGGAGGTTTACCAGCTGTTTTGAGGTTGATTGCTTTTTGCGATTACTAAAGATGCTGGATAAAGGCCAAGGATTCACATACTGAGCCTTCCTTTACCTTGTACCCGGAAGGTGAGGGCTGCAAGAATTGTCAACCCAAACCCACCTAATGCACTCCTGTTGAGCCTGTTTGCTCTGACCTTTCCCAGGGGATGAAATAAGAAAACAGTTCATTTACCACGCTTTTTTAAAAAATTTAAGTTTTTTGCTCTTTTCAAAGTTGTACATGATTTGAAGAGTTAACTAGTTTCAACAAGACTTCCCGTTCCCTCAAGGCAGCCACTTTCAATTTTTAGCTCATTCTTTGGTATTTACCTCCACCTGTCTAGATAACATGTTCATATTTCTACTTCTTGATATTTCGGTTAGCCATCATCTATTGAGTTCCCAATCGGAAGGTAAGGATTTAGCACACTCCTCTGCACTTCCACCGCACGTGTACACTCTTAGTCCTTTTATCCTGATACAGTTATAACATATTTTGCTCAACCTGCCCAATCAGCAGGATGTCATTGATGTAATAGATTAATGTGAAGTTCTGAAGGATGTCCAGAAGGTCCAGATCTCTCCAGACTATTTTATGACAGAGGGCAGGAATGTTAACATAGCCTTGGGCTAAACTGTAAATGTACACTTCTGTCTGTTTCATGGGAATGCCAACTGTTTCTGATCTTATGATTGGAACAGAAAAGAATGCATTCACTAAATCAATGATGTGTATCAAATACCTGGGGCTGTATTAGTCTACCCTAGCAAATATGCCACATCTGAGCATAGCAGCTGCCACCAGGGCTACCAATTGGTTGAGCTGGCAAGAAGGGTGATTGTTAAGCAAGGATTGCTTAGGGGAGAACTTGAGACCGTAAGGTAGCAGCTAGCAACTGCTAGCAGATATTATTTTGAAAACACGTGGTGTCCTTGAGTTTGCTACAGTTCAGAAAATTCAAGTTCTCTGTGATGCAGGAACATGTCTGAAACAACATACACAATGGCCACCTGGCTCCATTTTGGTTGCTTGAATACTAGTTACTTCATTTTGCTTTTTAAATGATCTTAAATATGTCATCAGGAGCTTTACAAGTTTCTATTAAAATGAGCATTTGGGATGGATATTGATTCTAAAATGGGTAGATTAGGGAGCAGTTTTCTGGGTTTAGAATTCCTGGCTTGGCAAGGGTAGAGGTCATCAACGCCCTGCAGATTTTTTTAGGATAAATATCATTCTAGGTGATTGCTTAAAGTCTTGTGTATCTAAATACCATTTGGTGACTCAAATTATATCTCCTGATCTCAATTCTCTACTGACCTCCAAACTTGAAATCTATTGGCTCAGTATCTCTATTTGCATGTGAAATATGCATCTCAATCTTTACGTCTAAGAACAATGGCCCCTCCCACCAAGCCCATCATTACCTCAATGTAATGAGGACAAACCACTATCCAACTGCTTTGGTTAAAAAAAAAAAAAAAAAAAAAATCCTTGTCTTTTTTTGTCTCTTTTTTCCCTATCAGCAGATCCTGTTGGCCTTACTTCAAAATACATCCTGAATCCTACCCGTTCTCAACATTTCCACTGCTACCACCTTATTCCAGGCCACCCTAATTTATTCCCTGGGCTGCTGGAATAGCCTCCTAGGAGATCTTACAGCTTGCACTTTTGAAGGTCAACAGTCTACCACCACAAGCAGCCGCTTTACAAATTACGCCACTCCCCAGCTCAAAACCATCAAATGACTCCCATCTCCTTACCCTGTTTAATCAGAGCCCCAACCATGTTACTAATCTCATTTACCACAATCATCACACCTATACTCACTGTGGTCTAAGCACCCTGGCTCCTTGCTTCCTCCCAGAACACCAAACACGTGAACCTTGAGGACTTCGGTAGCTTTTGCTCTTCTCCCTGTCTGGACCGTTCTTCCTGATTCCTCCAAAGCTGGCTGCACTTTCATTCAGCTCTCTACTCAAATGTCAAGACTACGTACCTAAAAGAGCATACTCCTTATTTCCTCTCCCTGTCACTCATGTCAAGCCGCTATGGAGCAGGGAATGCCTGGCACCTCAAAACACGCTTGGTTAAATGAATTTGGACTGAACTTATCGTGCTTCACTGCCACCCATGCTTTGTGAGGTCACCTCACCGAGGTAGGTATACAACAGACGGAAGCAGAAACCAGGTGAGGCCTGCCTCGCCGTTTTTGAGCCCGTTAGCAAGGGCTCATACAGGAACCCCTTGCAGCTAGCTCCCCCAGCCAGAGCTGGGCCAAGAATGCTCTTTCATTTCCTTGTCCGGTCGGGAACGGGAAGGGGTAAACGCGAGAAAATGAGGCGTGGAGGGGCTGAGGAGGGAGCCTCAGCTCCGCAGCATTCGGTTGAGAGTTGACTGTTATCTATGGCGGTGCTTCTTTTTACTGGATGGCCTGGGGGCTGAGGCTGCGATTCGGTACAGAAAGCTCAAGCGCAGATGAGCAATCGAGCCGGTCTGCCATTTTCCGAAACTAACTCCCGGGTAACCCCGCCCGAGTGTGTACGCATGAAACGGGGGCGGGACTTATTGTGAAGGCCTCGCTCCGGAAACCGCACCCTCGCTGGCGTCCTACCTTCGAGGATTCACAAAACGCAGAGCGAGACTTAACAGTCGGCAGCGAAAGCGCGCACTCGAGCGCCAATGAGAGCGGAAAGAGGGGAAACGCGCCTGAGGAACACTCTGTATGTCCAACAATGATTGGCTGGAGCCGTCCTCTCTTCTTTTTGGTATTGGCTGGACTGCCTTTCAGGTGGGTTTTTTTGTCTAGGTACTTCTGATTGGCTCCTCCTGGGCTGCGGGGGGCAGGATTGGGGATTGTTCATCACGGATTGGTGGATTTGAGCACCTGGCGGTAACTTCCCGAGCAAGAAGCCCGTCCCATCTCTCTGTCCCGTCTCCCGACCCGTACGCTACCTCCTCAACTCTCGCGCACGAATGGTTAAAAAAAAAAAAAGGATGCGAGGCTCGAGCCCGCCAGCCAGGCCTCTAGCTTCTAGCGCGCGCCCTCAGCGAGGACCCGCGTGAGCTGCCCGTGACGCTGCCTGCGCTGTTTGAAATTGCAGAATCCGTTACCAGCTTGGGGCAACTACCGTTCCGGCTGGTTCCGGAGCCCGTGCGTGCCAGGAGGGCTAGTGGCGGTCGTGAGGTGGCTCTAGCCTTTCGCGTCTCTGCAGCCTGGAGACTAGAACCGGCACTTTCGTAGGACGCCACCTCCAATCGCAGCGCTGGCGCGGGCGGAGGCTAAAACACAAGGGTCCTGAGACTGAGGAAAACGCGCCAAGTTCCCGTCGGCGGTGGAGTGAGGAAGACCCCAGCGGTTCGGGTGCCGGGCGAGCGGAGCTGCTTCTGGCGCTCCTTGCCGTCCCGGGGCGGGGACGGGGGCGGGCGCGGTTGGGCGCCGCTTCGGGGATGTAGTCGGTGCTGGCGCCAGAAAGGACCGAGCGGCAGCCCGGGTTCCCGCTCTTGAGAGCGAATGGTCACTCCCCTGCGGGGAGGGCGATCCGGCCAGCTTTTCCGTGGGTCGTGGGCCCCCGCAGGCTCGGGGCAGGGGCTCACCTGTCGTACCCGCCCTCAGCCCGGTTAGACTCGTCGGCGTCACCGCCGCGGACCTCGCTCTGGGCCATGACCAGGTAAGGAGGGCCCGTGGAGGAGGGGCCGGTGCCTGGGCGCCGCGGCAAGTTCGGCAGGAGTCCGAGGGGGCCGCGGGGAGGACCCCGGCTCCCTCGGTGCTGCGCCCCCGCCCAGCTGCCAGCCAAGCCGTCCGCGCAGCGGGCGGCGCCCCCTCCCGCCGCCGCTGGGGACTCAAGGCAGGTGCGGGCTGGGAGTAAATAGGCCAACTCCGCGAGCTGTGGTTCTGCTTAAAGACGCCGCCCGCCCGGCCGGTGCCGCGTTTGACGGGCACGGGCATCATCACCGTCCCGTCATCTTCTCACTTTCTTTTCCGTTCCTAGAGTTTGCGGGATAAGGAGAAGAAATGTTTGCGCTCACGTTGTTCTGTGTCGGTGATTGCTAAATTTTACCGAGCAGTTTAACTTACTTTTTCTCCAAGTATTTAGAAGGGCACGTGTCTTAAACCTTTGTCGAGGATGTTATTCTTGTTTTACATTTTTCGTGAAGTTGGGATTGAGTCGTCCCATCTTACAGAGGAAAAAACTTGAAACTAATGAGACTTAGTGTTCACACTGTCATTTGTCAAGAACATTTAATGTTCTATTGTTTTTTCTGCGAAACTTGATTTAGAGTTACGGGAGAAACATTTTTGATGTAACAACCCCCAATGATAAGGACAGCCAGGAGCAAGAAATGGTATAGCAGAAGATACGGCACCTGGTAAAATGTTATATTCTAGGTAATGTTAATGTTTAATCATTGCTTTGAGGAGCCCGGAGGGGTGGTTTATTGATTAGGATTGATAATGTTATTTCAGCTGCTTGGTCATTGTTTTTTTTAATATATTTATTTAAGTCCGGTTACTCTGTTAGAGAATCCAGTTTCCATCATTTATTAGAATTGGCTCCCAAGGAAAAACCTTTTACAAAAATCGCTAATGCCTAGAGATCCCTGACACTTCAGTGCAGGCTGGTTTATCATTCGTGATAGCATTTCATCAGTAGCATTAGTGGCCAGGAGAGTAAATTGAGTTGGAGGGGGGATGGGGAAATTGGTCGGCTTTCTAGTTATTCCTGAGTTGTCTCAAAAAGGTGGTTTCACTGCCGTGTCTGTCAGTGTTGTGAATTCCCAGTTCAGAGGCAGCCAGGTTTTCGCTTATGCTTAAGGATGAAATTTAGTTCGTGCTGTTAGTCTCTACCTATATTCTATTTTAAAGTCATTGCTGAGTTTTTGGACTCTTAGGTGATTTTCTGGTAATACTCGAGTCAGATAGTAATATCTTCCTAATGAAAAATAGGACTAAAGTGTAAAATAACTACCACAGATAGAGCCTTTTTTTTTTTAGTCCAAAAGTTTTATTTTAAAACAGGGAAGAAAGTTTGCACAAGGCAAACTTTTCTTCTTTCCTACTTAAAGCAGTATCTTAAAAAATTCTATAGTTAAAAGAAGTTTGGAAAGTCAGTATATTTTGGTTTCTAGTGCATAAGAATTTGATATACACAAAGTGCAGCAATTTTTTACACCATTATCCCAACTTTGCGTATAGCTTATTACTTTTCACACAAGTTTTTAGGTGTAAACTTAACACTAGATCTAGGCCTTTCCTTGTATGCAGATTATACTTTAAATAGACTTTATTTTGTATAACTAGAAAAGACATTGGAAGGAGAACTCAGTCACTTCTAGCACTCCTTGGATTTCCCATTCATCCCTCTGTTTCCCACCTTGTACTTAAGAATTAGAGATGATAGTTGCTCAGTGTTTCCTGAATGAACTAATAATAAAGTTTTTACCCCTTGATGATACTACTTTACCATTACTACTACTACTACCAGTAAAATGGGGTCTACTACTAAAATGGGGTATTTTGTGATGTGACCCTTAATCTAATAGCAGGCTAGTAAAAGTTCAGTGTCTTTTTTTTTGTTGTTTGAGAAAGTTAAGGACAAATGGCAACTCCTTCATATAAGCAATAAAACATTGACTGCCTGTTATTGGCAGGCATTAGATTTTCAAATACAAAGTTCTAATTAATACCATTCCTTGGTAAATTTGTTTTCAGAAATGATGATTTTATTGCCTACAGCCGATAACTGAAAACTAATAATCTTTTCTCTGATTAACAGATATGATTGGTGATTACAAGGTCCCTGTATAAATTAATTCTTGTCAACTCCTTGGGATTTGAAGAGAAAATGCCCGGTGTCATACCTAGTGAAAGTAATGGGCTTTCAAGAGGTAGTCCATCAAAAAAAAACAGACTTTCCTTGAAGTTTTTTCAGAAAAAGGAAACCAAGAGAGCCTTGGATTTCACAGACTCTCAAGAAAATGAAGAAAAAACTTCTGAATATAGAGGATCTGAAATGTATGTTATTTTCAGTATATTTCTGTACTTTTTAAGATTCCGCATCAGTGAAAAAGCAGTGAACTTGGATTGATATCTGCAGTCATGCTGACCTGATAGTCCATAGCGGGAGATAAAAAAGCACACATTAGGGAGACAAGTCTAGCAGTGTGTAATAGTAGAAACAGGATAAAACTGGTGGTTCCCCACAGGGATCACATCACAGTTCACATTATAACTCATTTAAATTGTGCTCAGCCGATTAGGCTAACTTCGAGAAATACTAATTGACTAAAATTATTTTTCAATTTAAATTTGATTTTAGTGCAACACACTTTATGTAAAGGTAAAGAAATTCATGGGGGACAGTTACCTGACATAAACTTTGTCTTTGTAGTCATACCTAGTATATGAATTCTCAAACCTGTTGGTGTACAATTGCAAATTATTATTTAAAATAAACTTAAAAATAAGAAATGCTTTTGATACAAATAAATCCTTCAGTGACTGAAAAGAAATCAGAACAAAATGGAATGCTTTACTCCACCAATAGTTGCTCTAGTTGGAGTCTATACTTGTCCGTATTCAGCACATAGGCACTCTGCTATATGACTAATGTAGATTTGCTCCCCTGTATAATTTCCTAATATTTACCAATAATCAGTTTAGGAGATTGTGTGAGAACCTTTTGCTTACCAGCATTCGTGCTTATAAATACCTTGAGGTATTAGAGTTATAGCTAGCAGCTGTAAAATAAATAAAAATGCTGTGAGGACTGTTTGTTAAACTGAGGTAAAAGAGTTATAAACTTGAACAATTCATGTTTAAGTGAGGAGCAGCTGTATAAGTATCTTCATAGACTCTGTTTCCTCTTAATCTTTTGTGAACAGAATCTGACTTAGATAGTGCAGCCTCTCCCAAATATTGTCATATTCAGGTTATTCCCAGCTTTCTATTCAGAGTTAAACTACTTGATTAAAATGTCCTGTTGGCTTAACAAATCATAGTACCAATTCTGCAACTTTCTGCTCTGTAAAATGGGATTAACAGTCCTTTAATGGAATTGTTTTGAAGCTTGTTGAGTGTAATATTTTTAAAGTGCTTGTAAAACTTTTATTCTGGGTGTATAGCAGTTTTTGCACCTGTACAGATTGTCTTAAAATGCCATCTGAATAAAATCCATATACTTTTCGGATCATACAACTTTTGGGAAAAGACTAAATCTAGGGAAGTAATATTTCCACTTGAATTCTACTTCCTTATCCCTTTCTCTTCTTTGTACTTAATAGTGATCAAGTTGTTCCTGCAGCACAGTCCTCAACTGTCAACTGTGAGAAGAGAGAAAACTTGTTACCGTTTGTGGGACTGAATAATCTCGGCAATACTTGTTATCTTAATAGTATACTTCAGGTAAGTTGACAATTTTTCTATATAATAAAACTTTAGTAGGCAAAGAATGATGTAACACTTAATATTTTCTGAGAATTCAGGTTATTGGAGGATTTCAGTTGTCCATAATACTGTCTTTGTCTTTGTAAATAAACCAGAATGGAGTAAAATAATCATGATTCTAAATTGCACATTACAAATTTCTGTTGAGATAAGAGAAAATGATATATTAAATAAAATTGGGATAGCAAAATTGAGTAGATGTTGATTAAATTGAAGATACCAAACTTTTAGTTTTTCTGTCCGATTCCTAATTCTACGGTG